CCCGCTCACTGGCTGAGCGAGGTGCGGGAGCAGCACCGAGGGTTGCAATCCCGTTGCCGGTCCCTGGTCTGGTACGGGGGCAACACTGAGGGTTGCGATCCGTTGCCGGACACGGAAAAAAAGACAAAAGACAAAAAAAATAATAATAATAATAATAATACAGAGGAAAGAGAGTGTGCAAAGTTCTGGGGGTCCTGGAGAATCCAGCCCTTTCAGGGAATAGAGTAGACTCATGGTTAAATTTGTGTTTTTAAAAATAACTCAAGCAACAATTTGCATGGAAGAGAAACTAAATAGGAGGTAATTACCATAGTAAGGAGAGATGATGAGAGACTGAATCAGGCTGGTAGTAGTGGTAATGAAGAAGACAGGACAGAGAAACAGACTACTTAGAAGGTATAATGTCAAGGTTTATCATTTGGATGTTAAAAATAAAGGAGAAGGATGAATNCGTCCAGCTTAGAGCGACAAAAGCCTTTCACTGAGCACCACAGGGTCTGGCAAACATTCTGAAAAATGAATGTGAGATTGCATTTTTCTGTATTTTCAAACCTTGCACAAAAGCACTTCTACAGGTATGGTAAAATATATGAGGGTACTTCAAAAAGTTTGCGGAAAAATTGAATTAAAAGATAATATGAATCTTTCCATGAACTTTTTGAAGACCTCTGGTGTGTACTCACCCACACACTCACAATAAATGCCATTGTCATTAGCGAATAAGAATGATGGAAAGTAATCTTAGAGGTCTCAGTTCAAACTTAATTTGGACGTTGTCACCATTTATAAACAGGGATCTATCTGTAGGTCACACTAGGCAACATGGAAATGAGAGATAAAAACCATTTTCTAAGAGTTGTGACTGTAATTTCTCTATGTGTGTTGCAATATCCAGCACTCATTGCCCTTGGGCAGGGTAACTGATGACATTACCCATCAAAGGCAAATTCAAACTGTGCCTGGAAGGCAATCTGATTTCAGACAGTGGGGCAGTTATAACTTGTACCTGCTCGCTAAAGGAAACAGAAACTATTCCACACAGAAATTCTCAGCTTATTTACTTATTACCCAAAGTAATCGGCTTGCTTCAGCTGCTAGGCAGTGAACTGTATATTCCCTCTTATTTCTACCCCTGTGGGAACAAGGGAAGGTTGACAGGATTCTTTTTTTTTGTTTGTTTTTATTAAGGTAGTATAATTTAGCTGTTTTTATTTTTTATTTGCTTATTTATTTATTTATTATTTTAATTTAGCAATATACAACGTAGTTGATTTTTGTGTCCCTTTACCAATTCTTCCTTTTCCCCACTCCCTCCCCAGGATTCTTATATGTCATCTGTAATGGCCCAGCTGCTTTCACTATCTTTTAGTCTTTTTTCCTACCTACCCATCTCCCATCATTCTACCTACTCATTGTGCTCTACATTGAATAGGTTTTTTAATCATAAGATTTCATATTTTAAACAATTNACTCATTGTGCTCTACATTGAATAGGTTTTTTAATCATAAGATTTCATATTTTAAACAATTTTAGAAAATTATTAGTCTTTATCTCTCTAAATTTTGCCTCTTCATTCTCTCCTTTTGGAACCCATAATTGCTGTTGATGAACCTTCCTGTTCCAACTTTACCTTCATATTTTATAGCTCTCAATTTTCTTATATATGAAAGTTGAGGAACTTTCCTCCTCTATCGCACAAGTCTGAGAAATACTTAAGTGAGATGAAAAGTAAGTTTCTTAGCTCTAAATTCCACTTGATTGATTTTCTCTTCAGCTGTGTCAAGTCTGGTGTATAATCCATTCACTGAATTTTTACATCAATGACCACACTTCCATTTCTAGAAGTTGGATCTGTTTTTCTTCATATCTACCTTATCACTTAAACACTATTGTTCTTTCTTTTCTCATCTACAATCCTTCTTTTATGTATTTATTTTATTATTCATACCTAAAATTCGATTATCAAAAGTTCTTGAGGGTTTATTGTCTCTCTTCACTTAGCTGAAGTTAGATAGTTTTAAAATTTAAATTGGAGGCTGAATTGTGAACTTATTTGAAGGGTTGCTTTATCTACTGGAGCTTTGTATGTCCTTGGTTGACTGGGAGGTAGCAGGGGAGTTTCATCTTTATTCCTAGGCATCCACGGTATTACCAGGCCATGTGTTATTAATAATTTTTTTGGCATGGAGTTACTCAAACTATATAGGGTAGAAATTTGAACTCTAAGTCAGCATGAGTCTGGCCCATAGTAAAGAATTTTCAAGTGAGAGTTATACAACAGCATTGCCCTCCCCTATGTCCCCAGAAACCAGGCTGAGATAAAAGATGCTTCTCTGCCATTTCCCTTGGCTGATGGTGGATTTTTTTCTACTCCACCTTTCCATGGAGGCTTAGCTCTTTGAGAATCCCAGCTTCAAGTAGGGGTCTTGGTTCTAAGTCCTGGCCCAGCTCAAAGTGAACGTGTTTCATTGTTCCCATTTGGATGTTAAAACTCGGGCCCTTTGTTATCTCTACATAAGCCTCCGTATCCATTCGTGAGTATCATCCCCTCTTTTAGTTTTTTGTTTTTTCTTTTCCTGAGGATTTCTTTTACTTTCTTGTAAGTTTATTATACATTTTTAAAGGATGATACACTGGGCGGAAAGTGCACAGAAACTCTACTATCTTTGCAATTTCTTTGGAGATTAAACTATTTCAAAATTAAAGTTATAATAAAGACAATGATGTTATATTTTCTGCTGTTTTAGGTTTTTTTTATATCAAAATCATTAGGTTATCTTGGCTGCAATTTAAAGAGATCTGATGGCTTCATTCAGCTATCTATTGAGTGCCTATTATGTGCCATGCACTGCTGAGTATCAGCAATAAAAATTTCCTCAAAGAACTCACAATACAGCAGGGGAGAGTAAACAAGAAGCTATAATATACTCTAAAGAAGTCTTTGCCAAAGAAAGTGCATCACAGGACATAAAGTGATATTTAAGCTGAGACCCAAATGATAAGTAAGGGAAATAATACAGAGGAAAGAGAGTGTGCAAAGTTCTGGGGGTCCTGGAGAATCCAGCCCTTTCAGGGAATAGAGTAGACTCATGGTTAAATTTGTGTTTTTAAAAATAACTCAAGCAACAATTTGCATGGAAGAGAAACTAAATAGGAGGTAATTACCATAGTAAGGAGAGATGATGAGAGACTGAATCAGGCTGGTAGTAGTGGTAATGAAGAAGACAGGACAGAGAAACAGACTACTTAGAAGGTATAATGTCAAGGTTTATCATTTGGATGTTAAAAATAAAGGAGAAGGATGAATTGGGGATGAATCTTTTTCCTACATTGGGATCTAGTGATATTTGTCAACCGGATGGGAAATTCAGGAAAGGAAACAATTTTAGAGATTAAGTTGGTTGCTATAGAGTCCATAGGTGTGAAGTACTGTAAATCCTGAAAATCACTATAGAATTTTCTCAACCGCTACCCAGTTGCTAAGGAATGCAGGCTCCATAGAATTCCAAAAAGGCAGGGTCAAGGAATGTAATGACCCCAACACTAATCCTTCTGCTTTACAGACATCTTGCCATAAATGTAAAGGTTTCATTTCTGTGTCTATATCTTCGGATATCCAAATATTTCCTTAGCTTTCCCTTCAGCATGCCGGAGATCTAAAGCCCTGCTTATACCCACCAGAGGCACCAAAATGTCCAGTACTTACTTCTACTTCTTGGCAGAAGGTAGCATTGGGGCCATACTGTAGTTGGCATTGGTGGTGAACATCATAGATCACTCCAGGGGCAATCACCTTGGACTTCAAGCCTTTCTTTTTAGGTGTGTCATCAAGACAGAACCCCCAGCCTCGGCTGAAAACAAGTTAATAGAAATGAGAGCAATTGCTTATGATTCCCTTCTTCAGTCTTTCATTCAACAGAAACCTCTATCTCTCTAGTTTACTCTTTGTCCTTCAAGATAACTTTATTTTTTTCAAGGCAGAGAACCCAAGGGGTAGAGTCCATAAAGGGAAATGCAAATCATATCCCACACCATAAGTTAGGAAATACAAGCAGTGGTAAAGTTAGAAAATCATCATCTTACTCTCACTGGAGTTTGGATGATCATTTCTGACTTATCCTGGTTGTTCCTGCCAGTCCCCAAGGACTTAATTTACAATCAGATCATAAAAAGCTAACTTTGGAGCAGGATCAATCAGGGAGGGGACAGGATGTTCACTTAATACAAGCAGTGGTAAAGTTAGAAAATCATCATCTTACTCTCACTGGAGTTTGGATGATCACTTCTGACTTACCCTGGTTGTTCCTGCCAGTCCCCAAGGACTTAATTTACAATCAGATCATAAAAAGCTAACTTTGGAGAAGGATCAATCAGGGAGGGGACAGGATGTTCACTCGGCTGTGGCTGGAGGGTAGAGCCCATCTAGATCTCAGGGTCAGAGAGCAGAAGTGAAATCTACCCCTTCTGATGCCACCTTGATCCTGTGGCCTGTGGGATGGAACTGAGCCTTTTCCGGGCATCCAATCCCTTATGTAAAACTCAATATGACTTCCAGTTTAAAGAGACCAAAGGAAGGCTGTCATGAGATGCACTGTCACTTACTCCAAGAAGCGGGTGATATACTCCTTGCTGCACTTGGACCATGTCAGCGGGGTGGGGTCGTACTGGAGCTGGTGGGACATGATGTAGGGATGCCTGCCCACAGGTTCACAGTCATTTTCTTTCCCGTCATGCTGGATGCCAAAGCTGGCAGGGAAGCACAAAGCATAAGAACAGCAAGCAGACAGGCATTGAACAGGGAGAAAAATCATAGTTTCTCCAAGGTGACAATAAACCCATAGAGAGCCACTTTTGTACAGGAGGCAGCTGTTTATTTACAAAGTGAGACTTTGAAGTTGGAGGGGGATAACTAATTTTGACTAAAAAGCACAGAGAAAATTGTAGGCATGGCTTTGCTTCAAATACTCAACTGTGGGAGCCATGTGGCTAACTCAAAAACTTATGTTTGGCAGAAAGATAAGAGCTCTTGGTCTGGCTTTCTGAGTCTGGAGTCAAGAGGGCCAATCCTGCCCCAAGAGATCTGCTTTGCCCTGCTGCAGCAACCATTGCACCAAAGAACAAAACCTTCCTTCTCCCCTTTCATCATCATTTAAGAGAGAGCATGAAAAGGGAAGCCTGTGGGAGACTTTGTCAAAGGTGACAAGCTTTGAGGGATGGATTTCTTTCTACTAATGCTACAGTAGTCCTCCAATAGCTGACACATTAGGGAGACCTGCTTAGTGGTTATGAGCAGGGTTTTTTAAGACAGATGATCTGGTTTTGAATTCCAGCTCTATTACTTAATGACCTGAGAGTTACTCAAACTTGCCTCATTTTTCTCTTTTAGAAAATGGGGTAGTCATCACAGTACTAGGATGAAGTATGAATGGAATAAAGTCTGAAAACCACCTAGCCAGGTGCTTGGCACATAATAAGGGCTTCCTAAATGAGAGAAAATTTCAATTGTTGTTTTATCATGGTTTAACTTATTTTCCTTTATTCCAGATGATAAAGTTTATACTTTGAGATTTGTCAAAGGTCACATAGCTCATTTATGGCAAAACTAGGTCTGAGTTTCAGATCTTTGTGCTTCTAACTCAGTGCTCTTGTCGGTCTGCCCCCTGACCTCCCACCACCAGCGCTGACCAGGTGAAGCAGCCTTGACCATCACCATGGCAAGGGGATGTCTGGGAAAGAAACTGACTCAAAGTGTTTGTTTAGAAGCTGCATCCTCAGGATCACCCAAAGACACCTTCTGAGATTCCCACAAGAACTCTCTCCACTGTTGTCTGTGTATTGGAGATGTGGGCTCACATCTCCAAATCTGAACAGAGGAAGGAATGGCTTTTTACTCTTCATAGAGAAATTCAACCCCTCTGGCCAGGAAGCTTACATCCAACTATAATGAAATCTCCTGACCAGCATTAGCAACTCTTGCAGAGAATGATCTTTGGGGGATTTAGAGATTTTCTTATATTTTTGTACAGTATGGTATTATCAACTTACTTAATAACTCTGATCACATTCCACATAAACACAAAACTCATAAAGGAGTCAGAGAATTAATCTACAAAGCTCTTACCACCAACCCACAAAGAATGTGATTCAATGAAGCTTCCTTCTGAGCAGTCCTTCCTTAGGCTGTTGCAAATTCATTCCTACCCAGCTCATGAAGTATGCCATAGTTCAATAGTTAGTAAAAATCCTAAACTCCAAGCAAGGTTCTAAACACCTGCATGAATAATGGTCTTTTTAGCACAGAAAATTCCAGTACACCAAGCCATGTGCCTGGGTCCTGTACACTGGGTGGTTTCAAACCTATACAAAATACATCAGTTCCCCAAAAGTTCATTTTGTTCCATCTAAATTTTTTAACTCACTAAAGCATTTTCCACTCCAGCATTATCACCCACTGCGTACTCTCATCTTATGAGAGAAAAGTAGTGCCACTAAACAAATGTCCCCCCAGTCTTTGTCTACCATCTCCAAATGGGTAGAGCAGTCCAGTCATGTGGGTTAATAATAGTGAGGGATGAGGAAAGCACATGGGGCCATAGGGATGAAAGGCCTGTTTCCAGGAAGCTGCTTTCCAGCACATGGGGTGGAACCTGAACAGTAGTTTGGAGTAGGGAGTCCTAAATGGTCTGAAACAAGTTACTGGCTTGTTGGATTCACTTGCTTGCTTTACTTCATCTTCATTGTTTCAGTTCCTTTAAGGTGAGTCGCCAAATTATAGACAAGTTCAGTAATTGCCTGGGTTTCAGTGTATCACTCGGTGGAATATATCCATCTCTTCCCTTTTATTATTCATTTTATGGTGTGGTAGAACCAGCAGATCAAGAACCATGAAAGGGTGAATATGAATTTTTCTAACTCATTCAGGAAATACCAATTTTGCATATACAACAAGTAAAGCTCTGTAAATGAAATACACCACAATCCAGAATGGGGAAGATAGTTAGTACATAATGCCTGCTGTGGGCTGAATATCCCCTCAAAACCCAGTGAAGCTTGATCACCATTGTCACAGTGCTAGGAGAGTAGGAAATCAGATTACGGTAGTGTTAAAAGGTGGGGCCTTCGAGAGGGAATTGAAGTGGTGAAAGTGGGCATCCTTGTCTTGTTCTTGTTCTTAGAGGAAAAGCTTTCAATTTTTCCCTGTTCAGGATGGTGTTAACTTTGGGTTTGTCATATACAACTTTTATTGTGTTGAGATACTTTCCTTCTGTACCTAATTTGTTGAGAATTTTTATTGTGAAGAGACATTGAATTTTGTCAAATGCTTTTTCTGTGTCTATTGAGATGATCATATAGCTTTTGTCTTTCATTTTGTGGATGTGCTGTATCACATTTATTGATTTGCATATGTTGAACCATCCTTGTATCCCTGGAATGAATCCCAATTGATCACGGTGTACTATCTTTTGGTGTGCTAATACTTTGTTCAGAATTTTTGCATCTATGTTCATCAATGATATTGGCCTGTAGTTTTCTTTTTTTGTTATGTCTGTATGTGATTTTGGTATCAGAGTGTTACTGACCTCATAGAATAAGTTTGGGAGAATACCCTCAGTTTCAATTTTTTGGAATAGTCTCAGAATAATTAGTATTAAATTTTCTTTAAAAGTTGGGCAGAATTCAGAAGTGAAGCCACCTAGTCCTGGGCTTTTCTTTCTTAGGAAAATGCTGATTACTGATTCAATCTCATTGCTCATTTTTCTCTGTTCAGGTTCTCTATTTCTTCTTGGTTCAGTCTTGGTAGTTTGTATGTGCCCAGAAATTTATCCACCCTCTAGATTTTCAAATTTGTTGGCATATAGTTGTTCATAATAGTCTCTAAAGATTCTTTGTATTTCTGTGGAATTAGTTGTAATTTCTTCTCTTTCATTTCTGACTTTTGATATTTGGGTCTTCTCTTTTCTTTTCTTGGTTAGTCTAGCTACTGGTCTGTCAATTTTATCTTCTAAAAAAACAACTTTTTGTTTTATCAATCTTTTGTATCTTTTTTTAGTCCCTACTTCATTTAGTTCTACTCTAATATTTAAAATTTCTTTCCATCTACTAATTTTGGGATTTGATAGTTCTTGCTTTTCTAGTTCCTTGAGTTGTAACATTAGGCTATTTATTTGGGATCTTTCAACTTTTTTGATGCAATAAGCACTTATTGCAACAAACTTCTTTCTTAGTGACACTTTTGCAGTATCCCATAGGTTTTGGTGTGGTGTGCTTGTATTTTCGTTTGTTTCAAGGAATTTCTAGACAGATCAATTAGGCAGCAGAAGGGAACAAAGGGTATCCAGATTGGAAAAGAGGAAGTCAAATGGTCTCTTTTTGCAGATGGCATGATCTTATATATAGAAAAGCCTAAAGACTTCACCAAAAAACTTTTAAAACTGAAAAACAAATGCAGTAAAGTTTCAGGATATAAAATCAATGCACAAAAATCAGTAGAGCTTCTACATACCAACAAATAAGCAGAAAAAGAAATCAAAAAAGCAATCCCAATTACAATAGTTACCAAAATAATAATAATAATAATAATAATAATAATAATAATAAAATACCTAAGAATAAACCTAATCAAGGAGGTGAAAGATCTCTACAATGAAAACTACAAAACACTGATGAAAAAAATTAAACAGGGCACACACAAAAAATGGAAAGGCATACCATGCTCATGGACTGGTAGGATTAACATTGTGAAAATGTCCATACTACCTAAAGTGATCTACAGATTGAATGCAATCCTATCAAAATACCAATGTCATTCTTCATAGAAATAGAAAAAGCAATCCTAATATTCATATGAAACAACAAAAGACCTCAAATAGTCAAAGAAATCCTGAGCAAAAAGAGTAAAACAGGAGACATTACATTACCTGACTTCAAATTGTACTGCAAAACTATAGTAACACAAATACCGTGATACTGACATAAAAACAAACACTTGGACCAATGGAACAGAATAGAAAACCCAGAAACAAACCCATGTACTTACAGCCAACTGATCTTTGACAAAGATACTAAAAACATACTTTGGAGAAAGGGCAACTCTTCAATAAATGGTGCTGGGAAAACTGAATATCCATGTGTAGAAGATTAAATTAGACCCCTATCTCTTACCATATAGAAAAATCAACTCAAAATGTATTAAATACCTTAATGTAAGACCTGAAATTATAAAACTTCCAGTAGAAAACACAGGGGAAATGCTCTAGGACATAGGACTAGGCAAGGATTTGATGAGTAAGACCTCAAAAGCATAGGCAGCAAAAGCTATAATAAACAAATGAGATTTGATTAAACCAAAAAACTTCTGAATAGCAAAGGAAACAATCAAAAGAGTGAAGAGACAACATACACAATGGGAGAAAATATTTGCAAACTATGCATCTGACAAAGGGGCTAATATCCAGAATACAGAAGGAACTCAAACAACTCAATAGTAAAAAAAATATATAATCCAATTAAAAAATGAGCAAGAGAGCCAAGTAGACATTTCTCAGAAGAAGACATACAAATGGCTAAGAGGTGTATGAGAAAATGCTCAACATCACTAATCTTCAGGGAAATGCAAACCCAAACCACATTGAGATATCACCTCAACCTAGTTAGACTGGCTATTATGAAAAAGACAGAAAATAACAAACACTGGTAGGGATGCAGAGAAAGAGGAACCCTCCTATGCTGTTGGTGGGACTGTAAAT